GAAGTGTGAAGTGTGTGCAGCTATTTTGATCACTAGTCATTTTCTGATTGTACTCTTCCACTAACCTCATCTTATCATTTAGTTTGTAAAAACTTAGCCCGCATAATAAATATACAATTTATTAAAAAAAAGTCAGCCTATAATATGTAGAAGCCTATATGTTTCTTGGTGTTTTTTGTAGTAACTAATTCTTCTTCTTCTATTTCCTCGCCTTAATCCCAACTACTTAGGGTCGGCCACTCTTATCCTAAGGTTCCACTTGACACGATCTCCCACATCATCTACGCTCATGTTAGCCGTCCTCATATCGTAATTACTAATTAATTTAAAAAAAATTAAACGGTAGCACAGTGGGGTCGCGGCATAGTGGAGACATTTCATAGTTGGGTTCAGTCTAGATTTAATCTGACAGTGATTAAAATCACTATCATAAGAAACGCTTCGATGCAAATCTGTAGATAGTGTTTAATTTTAAAAAATTGATGGATAATTGCAAAAGCAACATCAACTTCTATTAAAATAAAATACAAAACCCATAATTATCATACAAAAATAGTATATTTTTCAATATGGTAGCCATTTGCGTATAGAAGATAGATCGTCGGGACAAATTTTTTTTTTTCATTTTGTAGTACATAAAATAAGCTTTAATTTTATATATGTTTAAAGGACGCAGTATTTCCGGAACATTTTCAAAAATTAAGTTGAAAAAGTTATTTTTTGTAAAAAAGTTACTATTTTAAATCCTCCCAGTGAGCAGAATAAGTGTTAGATTTTCAAAAAAAATTATATCAAATGAAAGGGAAATATCTAAGGTTTCAATACAAAAAAATATTATTTTTATTTGTTCATTTTTGAAAAAGTTATGGCAGTTTTAAGTACAAAAAACATCCCGATAAAATGTAATTTTTATCGCAAACATTACATTTTTTTTTAAATTTTCGACAGCCATTTGCACATAGAAGATAAGATGTCGGGACAAATTTTTTTTTTTCATTTGATAGTATATAACATAACCTTTAATTTGATATATGTTTAAAGGACGCAGTATTTCCGGAACATTTTCAAAAGTTCAGTTGAAAAAGATCTATGTTTTTTACAATATTTTAAGTTTTGAACGCCCCCTATATAAGGGGAAATTGTCCAATTTTAATAAAAAGTATGTCAAATGAAAGATGTACTTATAATGTATTTAGAAAAAAAAAATTTGTGCTGATATATACATTTTTCAAAAAGTTATAGCATTTTTAAGTTGAAAATTTAAAATCGAAAATCGAAAAAATATTTTTCTTTATTAAAAAATTAAGTTTAAATGTAATGTAATAAACAAAATTTTCTATCGATGTTTTCATTATTTTTTAATTTTATCAATCAGAACTCTTTTATTCTACAATAAGAAACATTAATAATGCAATAAAAATACACGAATAATAATAATACTTTAATTAACACTTTTATTTTAATTAATGTAAAAACCATTTTAAACATATTAATCATAAACAAATACAAGGCAACTTTTTTCCTAATTAAAAACATTCTTAATTATTTAAGATAAAATTTACTTTTTAGAGAAGTTGAGAAGTATACCAATATGGACGTTATCTAAAGAATCTGTTGATCAAGTAATTACAATTTAGATTTTAAATTATTATTGTATATAATTTAAGAATAATAGTTTTAAATTTTCTGTTACACAATATGTGTACATAAATTAGGAAAATAAAACATTTTTTGTAGTGCAAACTTCTCTCAGGGGGCTCTGGATTTCATTGAAATAAACAGGTGAAACGAGTTAGCGACACTAACAATTGTATATCTGTACACATACATTCTTTATATATACAGTGTTCAGTAGGTAAGGAAACAGATCAATTGTTTCAAAAAATAAGAATCAATAGAAATGCGCTTCCTTAATACTGAACACTTTATATATAGGTGGGCGTGCGCGTCATCGCTTGAAAAAAATAAGAGTGAACGCATGAAAAAATCATTGACACTGACAAATGTAACGATTTCAAACTAGTATATCTGTTTTATCATAAAGAATTATGATATGCATTTTAGCTTCGATGCGAAGCTGAGAAGGTATTAATTTTACCATGATGTTTTTTTTTTTTATTTTTTTTTTTATGTCTGTTGCCACTTTTTCTCAGTTCTCACTGGACCGATTTTTTTCAACAATACGTCAAAAGATCACAAATCGTATCTAGTTGAAGACATTACCCTTAAAAATTGAAAAAAATTCCCTCGTTTCACAAAAATGGGGGAAATATCCAAAAAAATTACAAATTTAAAAATCGGTAAATTTTGTCATTTTTTTCACTTTTTTTTCTTAAAACTTCTATAACTATTTGAAAAATAAACAAATCAACATAAATTTTTTTTATACTAAAACCTTAGATATTTCCCTTTCACTTGATATCATTTTTTTGAAAATCTAACACTTAACCTGCTCATTGGGGAGGATTTAAAATAGCAACTTCTTTACAAAAACTAACTTTTTCAACTTAATTTTTGAAAATGTTCCGGAAATACTGCGTTCTTCAAACTACTAAATGAAAAAAAAAAATTTGTCCCGACACTTTATCTTCTGCATGTAAACGGCTGCTGTAGTTAAAAAAACGCTATTTTTGTGTTAAAATTTTCGATTTTAAATTTTCAACTTAAAAATGCTATAACTTTTCGAAAAATGTAATTATCAGCACAAATTTTTTTTTCTAAATACATTATAAGTACATCTTTCATTTGACATACTTTTTATTAAAATTGTACAATTTCCCCATATATAGGGGGCGTTCAAAACTTGAAATATTGTATAAAAAATAGAACTTTTTCAACTTAACTTTTGAAAGTGTTCCGGAAATACTGCGTCCTTTAAACGTATATAAAATTAAAGCTTATTTTATGTACTATAAAATGAAAAAAAAAAATTTGTCCCGACGACCTATCTTCTAAGCTCAAATGGCTACCGTATTCAAAAATATGCTATTTTTCTATTACAAATTCTAGGTTTTGTGTTTTATTTTATTTTAAAATATCTTATTAGGAGAATACATGGTGAAAATAGCTACCGTATTTAAAAATATGCTATTATTGTGTTAAAATTCTTGGTTTTGTATTTTATTTTATTATAAGGGAATTACACTGATTTTCATAAATATTATATCAACCTAAATGACATAGTATAAAAAATTAATCATATTTAATTTTTTTTGTTTCTTTGAAGTCGAGAAAAATAACTTTAAAATTTGAACTAGCTAAATTTCCATTTTTATTAAGGAAGAATGAGACGTACGGTTTTTGAGACGGTAACACTTGGGTCTTTCACGACTGTGGCACTGAATTTTTTTTTAAATTCTTGTTGAGTTAAAAAAAAATGTTTAACTCATTTGATTTTTATCTCATTTAGATTCAATAACTTCAATAAATATCAAGGATTCCATTATTGTAGTCTCCTCTCGTGAGAAGAAATTCATATTAATATTATTTTACTATGTGGTTTTTTTTTTGTAGCTATCATTTATTTTCTCAGCTCTCATTTGATCTACTTTTTTGACAAATTTTTTTTTTTAATTTAAACACTATCTACAGATTTGCATCGAAGCGTTTTTTATGATAGTGATTTTATTCACTGTCATATATCATCTATACTGGACCCAACTATGCCACGACCCCACTGTGCTGGGTTTTTTTTATTTATCTCTAATAAAAAAAAAAAGTTGTGTATGATAAATTTTAAAAAACTTTGTTAAGTACTTTATTCCCTATGAAGCCTATACTTATTTTATGTATTCAAATGCTTGTTACTCAATCGTTATAAATACTTTGTTTTAACATAGTTATTTTTATGTATTATGGGGAACATACTTTAAACCCCAATCTTTCGATATAGAATATACTTTTTTATAACGCTTTATTTTTAAATATATTTTGGTGAGATTATGTTTTTAGATAATAATTTGTCGCATAATTAATTGAAGTAGTTTTATAAAATACATGTTTGAAATCTAAATTATACCAATTAAATATTAATGAAAATAATAATTCTTCGATACATTAATTGTATATTAAAAGCATTCGTTTGAATGTACCTTAAGATTATCTGATTTTTATAACGTGCATATAAATGTGTTGGTGTGTTCATTGCAAATTTAGAAATAATTTATTTTATCTGAAGTAATCTAAAGATAAAATTTAATAGCCCATAAATAATTCTTAACATTTCTATTTCTCCAGGGAACTGAAAATAAATGTTATTACCAACAGTCATTGGCTATGATGTGTTCTAAATTAATGTTCGATTAAATATTTATAAAATGTACTTATGAATGTTATTAATTAAGTAGTAATTTGTGTACGCAAATGTTTATCAGATATAAAGGTATTATCCTATTTAATAGATCAACTAAAATTTAAATAGAAAAATTATAACGCTATAATAATGTAATTCCATGTAAGAACAACATTACAATATTGGAAACATTACCTTTAATTACATATAATTTAAAATTTTGCCATTTAGTACTACAAGTCTTAAAGTATACAGTTTTATTATAAATCGATGATTATTGAGTTTATATTAATTTAATTTCGATTCTATCTATATTATTTAAACATTTTTAACAGGAAGTCATCCATACACGATATCCGTTCATCGTTTTAAATATGTCGAATAAAAAACATAATGTTAAAATAGTAATACTTTAAATCTTCATTTTTTAAAATAAAATTTTTATTAAAACTTATAAAGACTTTAAATTATATTCAATTCAATCATATTCAATAATTACATTTATTTTTATTTTTTATTAAATTGTTGTGTTTTTTTTTAATGAATCCGTATTACAATTTATTTAAAAACACACCAATTCATCAACCTAAGAATATTATTAAAACCAAATTTTTCAATTCATTAAAGATAATTAGTTTTCTTTATTTATTATGTGGATTTAGAAACCTGCAATACTTTGTATGGCCATCTAAATTTTTAATTTTGAAAGGTTCAAGAGTGAACATTTTTGATGAATTTTTTCGAACAGGAATCTTCATTTTGCTATCATTTATATTTCTTCAAAGACCTCCATTTTATTATTTTTACTATGATTTATTTCGTTTTTGGGTTACATTTTTGGTTGTTCGGTATAGTGAAAAAATAACAATAAAGTAAGTAAATGATTGTACAATATTAAAAGTTTTAAATCATATTTCAATACAATTGCAGGTTCATCGAAAATATGCTCAATTATGATTTTAAATATTCTGCTCTTCCAACGCTTATTGGAACGCCTGCAATTAAAAATATATTTATGATTTCAATTTTAATATTATTCATCATTTTTAAAATAACAATACAAATTATATTAACATTTATGATCATTAGAAGACGGTTCAACATCATGGAATTCATAACAAATTTTGTCTTTCACATACCGAGATTAACTGACTTTGTTATAGTTTTTAGTGCATGTTTTTTTTTAAAACAAATAGGTTATAGATTTTCCATTTTAAACAAATTTTGGAAACGATTACCAGGGGAACTTATTAGAGCACCAGGCCATTGGTCTAAGGATGAAATTGCTATGCTAATAGAGAGTTGCAGACTACTTCATGCTAATCTCAGTGATATTCTCAAAACATTTAGTTATGCATATGGTCCTATATTAGTGTTCTTCTTGTTATTCCTATTTATAGACATGGCATATAGTATGTTTATTATTTTATATTTGAATAGAGCAATGACTGCAGCAATTTTAATATTCGCACAAGATAGTCTAATCATCATTGTACTTCTGAAACAAGCAACATGGACTTTTAATCGGGTAATTTTAGACAATCGTACATTAGTAAGATAATAACTATTGAGAAGCCTTTTATGAATTCATTTTAATTTAAATTAATTATTACGAAATAATAGAAAGTAATTGCAATTTATTAATCAAGTACCTTTATATTTCAATTTACTTAATAAATAAATAAAATAAAGCATCGTACATTTAGAAAAGAAAGATTATTTCATTTTTGCGATTATGTCAAATTGCCGATTTACCGGAAGAAATAAGGATACAGGTGAATATTAAAAATAGTAACATAACTATAGCACAACTCGCTCTATTCAAAATTATATTTTATAAAATACTTTGAGTATGAATTTTATGGGTAATAAGTTAAATTATTTTATAAAATTAGTACTTTTATAGATGTCATTCTTAATATGTAATATTTTATTTATTTTTAACTTTGTTTAAATTTCGTTTTAAGTAATTTTATAATTTATAGTTGCAGTTTTTTATGAAACAAGTTTCTTGTTATGATAATAATGAGTTGGCAGCAAGTGGCACATTTAAATACAATTTAAAACTAATTTTATCGGTAAGGTATTATTATAAATACTCCATAAAGTATTATATAAATTATTAATATTATAACAGATAAAAAATCATGAAATTGTAAAGTTAAACCAATTAAATAACATATTTATGTTAATTAGATTATTAATTAAGATAATAATAAATAAGCCATAAAATTATCCAATAGAGATGGTGATATTTTTTCATTTTCTCTATTACTATTTGTTATAGTTGATAAATTAATTGGTTATTGTTAACATCATATTTTATTTATTCTACACATAAAAAATTATAAATAAATTATTTACATAAATTAGGTTGCTTCATTTTTTATAATAATTATTTCTTCGTTCTCAACTCAAAATATCGTTGGAAATGTCAAAAATGTTACCTGAACATTAGAGCATATAATTTTAATATTAAGTACTTTCCCATTGTAGGTAATAATTTTCCATTTAAGAAACACGTTAACTTGGGTTTTTTATTTTTTAAACTTTTATAACTTATGCTATAATATTGCGAAATGTATACTTTTTTTTAGTCTTAGACACTCCACAAAAGTGACCAGTGTATCGTATCCGCATTTAATACGACGAGTTAATAAAGGATACTATATAAAACCAAAATTTTCCATAAAATTTTCTTTTTTTTTGTCATTATGTCATACATGATTAGATTTATCGAAATAATGTGAAAGACAAACTTTTTTTTATGACGTCGCTGTCACAGTGATGGACTTTTTTATTGTCAATTATGACCATACCTAATTAATTGATATACTTTCTGTATTAGTTTAAAAATAAAAAATATTTAAAATTTGTTAAAAATCATGGTATCCAACCAGTTATAGTACTTTTTTGACACGCTTATATTAGTTTCATCTGTATGTATGTTTGTATATTTGTTTGTAAATTGTTTGTAACTCTCCACGTTATTCTTGCGTATCCCGTCGTCTATGGCCTTGAGACTAGACTGTTTTAACGCATTCACCCCATCCCGCCCACCAATTGACAACAACACTATTCCTGTATTATTTCATTTTTGGTTTTCGTTCCCGTACATGCGTACGCTTCATCAATACTATGTGTATACCACTCACTGACAACTTAAATAACTTTTGATCCAGTTAATATTTTTAGTTGATTTTTTTTTTAAATAATAGTTATACGTTAGGTCTATAGCTATATCTCAATAATTAATTTTTTTACATTTTATTAAAAATATTAATTATTTTTAAATTTTAAATAAAATGTAAAAAAAAAATCTAAGATAGCTATTTTGTAGAGTAGAATTTAAGAAAAATTTTAGTAAAAAAATATCTTATTAATATTCAGTAGTAAATATTCTGTAGCGTTTTGAAGTTTGTGAAAATTTGAATTTTCATGTACTATTTTACGGTATTAAACATTGAAATACGTATTGAGAAAAGGACAGAAGAAAACGCTATCTTTTCATGATTACTGTGTATACACATGATGATAATGTGTATACATTACAAACTTGGTATTAATACCATAATAAGAAATTAGATAAGGCAATTATTACTTATCACTCTCATTCAAAAGTATATTGAAAAGATAGCGTTTTCTTCTGTCCTTTTCTCAATACGTATTTC